CAAACAACACACACACACTATATTATATATATATATATATATATATCATACACACACACACACACACACATATATATATATTATAAATAAGTTTACATACACACATTCAAATATTAACCTATATATGTACATACAATCCATATATATATATTTATCTATCAATACGTGTACACGGAAAACACACGTGTATTTTCACACACGTACACACACACAAACACAAACATATACACACAAACACACATACACACACACACACACACACACACACACACAGACAGACAACAAACAAACAAACAAACAACAAACAACAATATATACATACATTACACACACACACACACACACACACACACACACGCACAGCACACACACACACACACACACACACACACACACGCACACACACACACACACACACACAAACTCACACACACACACACGTATATATATATATATATATATATATGCACATGTATATAAATATACTTCATGTCGTTTCTACATATTTCTAAGCAATACAACCAAGATTGTCACGAACAAGTGTATGTACGTTAGAAATTATATACTAGAAAAAGAGACAAAAAATATGTAGAACCATTGTTACAGGTGGGGAGTAGAATCTCATAGTCTGTGGTCTTACCTCAGCACAGCTTCGAAAAAGAGACAAAAATATGTAGAACCACTGTGACAAGTGGAGAGTAGAATCTCATAGTCTGTGGTCTTACCTCAGCACAGCTTCCGGACCGCAAGTATCCCATTTCTTCGTTCCAGGTGTGGGGAAAACATACGCGTCAGACTCTCCCTCTAGCAGCTGGATGACCTGTTAGACGGCAATCGATACATATGTAGACAGGCATGCTGGTCAGGGAGTGATGACCTAAGAATATTCATATTATGAGCCTGTATTCTCATGTGCTGTTTTGATATTTGCAAGTGGTAATTGTACCTTTTCGCACGCATAAAATGAGTTGTTCGCGTCGAATCTATGAAAGTGCAACCGTAAATATATACTGAGCGAGTACACATCTGACAGGGGTGGAAGTAACTGAGGCAGCATGATAGGTATACGTCAAGAGAACAACCTCGGTGGTTTGAGAGGCATAATACACTACGACTTATCGATCAAGCTATTCTGTTCAGACAATAGACTTCGAAAACACACTCTACTATTCGCTTCTATAGACAGATAAAATAACTCCAACACATGCTCACATCTGTGCATTGGCACCCAACTTGCACGGCTATCACTTATATGCGCGTGATCAGAACTGCCAAGTCCACTATTTCTTCCGGTTCGATATCGTATTGTTTAAAACTACCCACGCGGTCACGTACGTCACAGGCCACGAATAGTTTGCAAGTAGAAGCTAAGCATAGAGCTTTCCTCAGAACTTCAATGCATCCATTCACAGGTAAGTATTATACAGAGCATATATATCATACAGAGTCTGGACCACAACCAATTCGATTGGTCACCAGTATAGCAACCCACATCGCTGGTGGTGGTGTGGGATGTGCGCGCACTCACGAATACGAGTGCGACTGCACGTGGTGCTTAGTTCTGCACGCACACCCAGCAGGCTGCTCGTATACTCGTGTGACAGTACGGTCTTGTACAATTCAATTGGAGAGCAATACGATCAGACAATACACGAATTACGACACGTCCGGACTACGGCATACAGCATGAATACGCGGATGCATGCTTATAGTTGCTTGACATGCCTTGTTTCCAGCACCACCGACTCTGATAACCTTTTCAGGACTGAGGTACTCAATAGCTTTCTCTAGTTCTTTGGTGGCGTGGGATCGTGTGGTACTGATATATAGACCACTCCGTGTGCGTGCACAAGGAGTGTAACCAAAGGCGCCCAGACCAGTGATACCCCATACAGCTCTTCCGGTATAGCCGTCGTTAGTCTTACTATGGAATGGCTGGTATACGACACCTGTGCGTACAATTTTTTTCAAAATTGTAATTGGGATGAATATACATAAATCATAAATATGAGTCAACGAGCCTCAGCACACCTGGACGTCTCAATTCTCATACGCTCGTTTTCTGACCATATTTACTATCCATACAAAGAGGTACACATAAAAAACAAACTAACTATGATTTGTTAATGACTGTTGGCCTTCTGCGCTCGAGTACTCCCCTACTATCGCTTACTTACCTCCGACTGCCTGTCCTCTCACAGCAATACCCACCAGCACGGTCACCGCACTCACAACACCTGCAAGAACAATTCAAATGTGCAAGTGTCCGTGTGAGTCTCTAGAGTACTATATAGTAGATATCGCCCATTCGCCCTTGCGTTGGCAACTTAGCGTCTAGTATCCTGGTAGGATATGCACGTTACGCACCCTTAAGGCGTTCTCTGGCTTGATTCCAAATTGGATTCCTCTCGCGAGGGATACCCTACTGACACGACCAAAATGTGCACAACAAAGTATGTAACTTCTTTTATATTTCGTAACTGAGGTATGGACAGCATATGGCCAATATACTGTTCACCGTCTATGTGACCTGGTCTATCGCCATGACTCCTACTTTTTGCGGTGTATTCGGGACACTTCTAGCCAAAGGTTTTGCATCACAAGCAACCCTTTACATTTTCGCACAACACTTGATAGGCCGATAATTGGTATCGAATATAAATGGTCTGTACCTTCCTGGGGTTCAATCCACACCCCATGTCTCTGAGTGATACAACCACGAGACGTCTGGAACCTGGTTCAGCCCATACTGTACATAACTTACATGCATATGCATCGTAAGAACACAAGGTACGCGTAAACTCTCCACTAATGAGACAATCGAGACAAGAGCGGGGCATTCCGGACACTACACCGCCACAGAGTGCAAAGCATTGCCTCGTAAGTTACTTTCTTTACCTTGTGTAAACTCTTTGGTACCATCTAAGGGATCAATCCAAACGACCACATCTTCGAGAGTGATATTCCCGAGATTTTCAGGACATTTTTCAGCCATAACGGACGAATCAAGATCCGCATCAATAGCTTTCTTGGTGTATTCCGTGTGTCCCAGTCCACCCTGAATTTACGCATTCGATTTTGGGTAGTAACGTATTCAGCTTTGAGCAACAGTTTAGTCCATTCTTGGGATCAACAGTCGTATCGTATACGCACGTAGGAGAGTCACCTACGGAAGTTCAATACTACATAACTGTAGGTATATTATACTTCAGCGGCCGTATGCGTCAAATGATTCACACTGGTTGTATAGCAAAAGCGAGGCTGGCTAGTCCGGACCCACTGCTCACTTTCTTGCAAGTGTGAACGCTACTTCTATATGCGTAGGCCACATAGACTAACGGAAGATACCAGCGCTTGTGCCCGTTCGTCTATAAGCGTCTGCTTGATAGCGAACACACATTAGTTGAACAGAAGGTATTTGCCGGAGTATTGTGAGCTATCTCCGCATACACTCGCCGCCAGAGCACATGACTAGAGGCGCATGTTGTTCTGAAGGTATACCGACACCAATAGTACAGACCTGTCTGCTATAGCCGGGGGACTGCGCACACACACCATGAATAGAAATATTCGTGCCCCGATTGAAGGTTCCTACATATATTCTGATTAATATGCGGGTCACTCATTGTATCGTAAAAGATATTGCTTCCATTATGAATATTCACACGTCCCGCTTTACCGTTCACACGTCCCACTTTACCCTTCACACGTCCCGCTTTACCCGTATGTCTGATCGCAAGTCACTTGGATGAGAACACAGAGACCCCTACCACATGCACCCAGCCACCTGCACCCCTGAAACTGTGCAGTCGCACAATGCCCGATTAATCATACCACATATAGCATACCTCTTCACCAACAACTTTGATTGTGGGCCATTTCGATAAGAACGCAGAGACGAGCAGTACCTGCGCCTGCCTGTCGGCTTCTGTTTGTGGATCGTCTTCACCTTTCTGAACCTGTCGCAAGTTACCATCCGACAGCACGGCACGTATTATTGTACCTGTATTTAGGTGTTAGAATGGTTCGTATCACTGTGCCTGCATATGTATACATAGTAAATAGCTCGTACCATTGTGCCTGTATATTCGAAATAGAATAGACCCCACATTGATACCTGTATACATAGTATAGTAGCGTCCATCACTGTGGCCCCGAATGTATTTACACACAGAGTATCAATCAGTGAGAGCTTTCTATCGGTTTTAGGGTTTTTAATTTATATATATATACACACACACACACATATATATATATATATGTAGATATATATATATATATG